TAATCCTCTCTAAGGGGCAATTCTTAAATTCTGATTGTCACATTTTTCATATCTCCTTCGTTTAGCTCTTACTTGGCTTTTTAAGGAGTTACTCGGACCCACTAAGTAGTAGACCCACTTGGCCAATGCTAACGTAACGAAATACGTTAGCCTATACCAGGGTGGCGAACCCGTGGCAAGCGTGCCCAAAGTGGCGAGTATGGAAAAATCAACCGGCACGTAACTTATCACACGATTTCGTTTTACTACCCGTTTACGTACTCGAAAGTTTTCCCTATCCGTGTCGAATTTTCGGCCATAATCTCTCTCTTTTCGGGAAATCCACGGGAGGAACGAAGCTCGGGGTAAAAATTTCTCCTACGGTTACGCGTTTGGCTTCCCGAGAACGAAAGCGGCGCCCTTAATCCCCGGGAAGGAAGAAATATCCTCCACTCACGTGCATTTGTCGGCCTCCACGCAGAATTGCGCGCAGTCTTCGTCGGAGTCTACGTTCTNGTCGCACAGCATTCCTCGAACGTAAGACTGCCGGAAAAATCTGGGTTACAATCCGGGGCCAAGCCCGGCTTCCGCCGGCGGATGGTAACTCCTACCCACCTGTCCCAGGTAATAGAAGTCTCCTTCTCCTCCCAGGATTTCTTTGGGCTTCTTCATGCTTGAAGAAATATCCTCCACTCACGTGCATTTGTCGGCCTCCACGCAGAATTGCGCGCAGTCTTCGTCGGAGTCTACGTTCTTGACTTCCTTCTCCGATTCTCTGGGTTTGTCGTGCTCGTCGCTCTCTTCGAATCTTTCTGCAAAAAAAGGAGGAACGTTACGTCTTCGAAGATCTGGACGGAGGAGGAAACGGGAGAAACGCTTACTCAGAGCGGGAACGCGTTCCGTAAGAAGTCCCAGGACGCTGACTATTCCGGGTTCGAAATCCACCTGGAAGAAGAAGAAGAAGCGAAAGTGGGCGGGAAACGGTCGGCCCGCGGCCCGACCTCCCACCCGACTTACCCGCAAGAAGAGCAGACGCAGCGAAGACACCTGCGCATTGGTGGGTATGGAAGTCCTCAGTTCCTCCCGGACGACGGCCGCCACGTCTTCCGCCGCGGTCACCGTTTCGTCACTTCCTGCGGGTAACGATAGGAATGAAACGGTGTTTCCTCAGATAACGACGGGAATAAATTTTTCGAAACCCAACGTCTAAGCCGACGGACTCGATCTAATTCGGTTAATTAACCACTTTGGATCGACCAACTCTAGAAGGTACTGTACTGTACGCGTACCACCGGTCGACGGAAAGGAGACAATTAATAGTACGCGTCGATTCGTATAAATTCTTTCGTTTTCCACTCCATTTTCGTCACATTTCACTCTTTTACGTCCGATACCGGCGCGACACGAGTAGCGGTTTCTAATTTTGTATAAAACAAATTGTTGAAGCGCTCGATTAGTACGTAATTAACATTAAACAAACCTTTCATTTACTTCGCCGGTTATTTGTTCGAATGTCCGCTACCGCCCGCTTAAGCTAACAGAATATATAGGGGCAGGGCCGGATCATCGCATAGACATATGAGACAAATGTCTAGGGCCCGGTCAAACTGTCTATTTTGAAAAGATTTGTAAATAACATAGTTTACTTTTCTGTTGGGCAACTGTATATAATAAACAAAAATATACAGTATTGCTTTTTATATGGTTATAGTGAATTCTAAAATCTAAAGAAAATGTACGTGGGTTGTTCAAAAAGTTCCCGGACCTTTTTAATAGCGCGCCTCCAGTTGGTTATTTTTTAATTCGCTTGGAGGCATTGTGTCCGCGGAAATCTCCCGAGTAACTTCCTTCAACCCGTTTGTTAATATCTTGTTTTGGTGATTAGTTACGGCCGTTTATGTTAAGGGGTGTTTGTGGAGTTCGGCGAAAACTCGGATCCGCAGAAATCAGCTCTTTGAAAGAGCAGCGTTGTTCTGTGAAATTCTGTGTCAAACTCCGAAAATCCTTCACGGAAACTTCCCACGGGTGGGTGAAACAGCCCCCGCTGCAAAAAAGCTCGACAAGTTCGCTCAAATGTTAAGGTGATGTTGACTGTTTTTTTTTCAATGCAAAGGGTGTTGTGCATCACGAATCTACACGAATCTACGAATCTACAGGCCAGACAGTCAACACGGAGTACTACTTGGTGTTATGAAACGCCAAAGAGACAGAATCAGGCGAAAACGGCCCGAACTTTGGAGGAGCGGCGAGTGGTTTTTTTCATCACGACAACGCGGCGGCTCATTTGTCCCTCCGAATTCGTGAGTTTTTGGCCCCCCTACTCATCTGACTCGACACAAAGAGACGTTTTCCTGTTCTCCAACAAACTAAGATTTGCCACCATTCCAGAGATAGAAAAAAACGACGGAGGAGCTTACGAGCATTCCGGAAAAAGCGTTCCAGAACTGTTTCAAAAAGTGGAAAAACCGTTGAAATAAGTGTATACGTTGCGGAGGAGACTACTTTGAAGGGGACCCTGACAAACACGTGAAGTATTTTTTTTTTGTAATAAATAAAGTTCGGGAACTTTTTGAACAACCCTCGTATTCTCATGTTTCTTTTTATCGAAAGTAAAAGAAAACTCCCAATAATTTAGAATTATTTTTATAGCGATAAGAATAATATTAACTATATGTATTCTTGAATCCTGTGAAATATTGTTAAATAATTTTGCTTTTATTTTTTATAAAGCAGCTGCAGTGTCCGTATGCGATTTAATAGAAATAATAGTAACAAAATTTATTAATTGAAATTTTCTTCTTTTCAAAATGTCTAGGGCCTCAAAGTGGGTTAATCCGGCCCTGTATAGGGGTTTTTTCTCCTTTCTTAAATGATCGAGCGCTTAAATAGCGCTTAATTTTCGATTCGTTCCGCCAACTGCTTTTGTCTACCGGCATAAAAAGGTGTGGGAAGGGAGGACTCGGGTTTCCGGACGGCAGAACGCGCGTCGGAAAGGAACCGGGGATATAGAATTACCCGAAAAGGTGATGAGGAAGTAGCTCTTGCGCGAGGGAACTCCCTCGCAGTCGGAGACGTCGAAGGGACCGAACCGGAAAGTGGGAAATTTGTCGTAGGCGAACAAGTTGTAGATCAGCCGAACTCCCACCTGCAAAAGACGACAGAAGGATTCCGTCAGGCTGGACCGTGGAAAGCGAACAAGAGGGAAGAAGTACCTACCCCTCGATCGTCGTAATCGGCAACTTCCACTCGGACCGGACTGGCTCCCTCCACTTTTCCGTCCACCGCCACCGACCAGTAATGCTGAAAATAAAAGAAACCGGGTGGCTTTTACCAGTAACGTTGGAGACCGCCGCCACTTTCCGATAAAAGAGAACGACCGTCGAAAACGGGAGAAAAATAGCCGAAAGTTCCGATCGCTCCCGTGTGGAAAGAGGGCCGAATCGTTCCCAAAAATTCCCGGAGGAAGTAGTAACCGCGGCGACGATGCTAGAAGATTATTTCTAAAATGCCGACGTCGGCATTTTAGAAATAATCTTCTAATATAACGGCCTTAATATTCTGGCTTCTAATATAACGGGTCGATCGGTCGTTAATCCGGCGCACTTTGACTGGTGGGTACGAGATATATATCCGCCTTTAAAGGGTATGGCGACCAGACTGCAAATTTGTAAGTTCGTATAATCGGTATCCGCTGCCGGTCACTCTCTACTAGATATTTATACGCGGTCCAGAAGTAATACAAAACTTTTGGCATCCGAAGAAGCGCGGGAGTCTGGCCGTAAAGAATTCCGGAAGCCGCGTCTAAAAAGGGCGAGAAAAGTGTCCAGAATCCCAGCAAATAAAGATTTACTACGTAGTCTTTTGATAACGTCGGACTCGGTAATTACATCTACGAGAAAAGCGCGTGAGCGTAGTTATTAATCTCCGGGTAACGGGCCCCAAATGTCCAAATAACCGCGGCAACAAACACGGGGGAAAACGATTTCCACCATAGAAATAGTCGCCATAGTGCGTAATGTATAAAATTACGTTTCTTTTACGATTTATTGTAATTACTGTAAGTATATTTCGATTACAATGAAATCGTTTCGTTCTTAATATAGCCTAATTTTGTCTGGCTAGATTGGCGAAATCGTACGTCGCTCGTTGGCGGATTACCCTTTGATATTCGGCCGCGAATGGCGCAGTTACGAAAAAATATATCCGACCGATCTAAGACATTTTAAAACTTCTTTATTCCTCTACTGTACGCATTTTAAAGAAGTTTTAAAATGTCTTAGATCGGTCACTCGGTCTGATAAATTTACCCTTACGTAAGGTAACGTTTGTAGCTATATAAATCAAATAGCGTAACGTAATATAATACAAGGGTTAGAAGTACGAAATAATCTAATAATATTAATCTTCGCTGTCCGAACAAGGCCGGGCTCGTTCGCTAGCGACGAAATACACCTAAACCGGTAGCGGGTTGACCGCCGGCAAGGAGGAGTTTCCGCAGCTTTTTGCCCCAACAAAGTTCCCCCGGAAAGCGCTCTTTCCCGGGCAGAGGACCCTTCCGTCGTTATTCCATTAATTCTTCCGTCTCGTGGCCGCGGATGGAAAATGGCAAACCACGCGGTCGTATTCCTCGTCGGTTCCGACCCTGATATTCTAGCGTAAAGGTGATGAAGACCCAGAACTACTCGTAGGTATTGCCTGGGTGTGAAAGGAAGAAGGAAAAAGGATTTTAGGGAAGAGGTGAAGATGAAGTAATAAAGCGAGATAGGAAAGGGATGAAAGGGAAGTATTACGAGCACCCTGCTTCTTTTATTGAAACATAAATCAAAACATACAAAACGGCACCTGGCCTATAAAAATACAAAATTTCAATTATTTACAATTGTTGACATTTTGTATTTTTATCGGCCAGGTGCCGTTTTGTATGTTCCGACCGCGGTATAACCCGTCACCTTCGTCCGAAGAAAAAAACAAAAAACAAAATGGCGAACGGTTAGTATCGTCCGTCTAGAACAGTGGCGCGGTAGAGTGGGCAATTTTGGGGGAGCCGAGTTAAACGGATAAAAGGCTTTTTAATGCCAATTCGATAAAACTCCCGCTTCATTAATTAATAAGAAGAGGCGACGCGATATAATAAAAACCGCATATTAATTAGGAAAAGAATTTTGAAAAATTTTTCGGTTTCTTTTTTTCTCTTCGGAGGGTGCCGGTTCCACTCCCGGTGCGCCACTCGTCTAGACTCCGACCCCGGTGGACACTCACGTTAGTGAAGTAGTAAGTGTAGACGGTCCTGGCCGGTCCTTTCTTTTCTTCCGACGATTTCGGTATCACGGACTCCCACACGTCGCACAGCATTCCTCGAACGTAAGACTGCCGGAAAAATCTGGGTTAGAATCTGAGGCGGAAGTCCGGCTTTCGCCCGCGGATGGCAACTCCTACCCACCTGTCCCAGGTAATAGAAGTCTCCTTCTCCTCCCAGAATTTCTTTGGGCTTCTTCATGCTTCCGATCAGTCCGTCTTCGAAGCTCTCCAACGTCTGGCCGCGGACGGGAAAGGCGTCGCATTTTCGGTCGGCGGTGACGTACATCATGCCTGAAAAAGACCCGAATTGCGAAATTAGGGGGAGGACCGGGGAAAGCGGCCGCCCGGGGAGTACTCACCCGTGTTAAAGTCGTAGACGGTGGACTTGGATCCGTCTCGGCCTCCGCGGACGTCCAGTCTGGCCAGTTTCCTGTCGTAATGGTACCACAGCTGGGGAAAAAGAAGAAGAGGGTGAGCCGGGACGGGGCGGGCCCCGAGTCGGAAGAAAAACTTACCCTGAATGGAACGATGGTGTCTCGATTGTTCTTTTGGTCGTCGGTCAGGTTGCGAAATTCCCCGGAGACGAAGAATTTTCCGGAGCGAGCGGGCGGATCCGGGCCCTGGTTCCGCAGTCCCGGGCATCCGTATCCCGACGGAGGCTGAGCGGAGAAAGAGGGATTACAGAAGGATATTGCGGGGACGGCGGACCAACGGAAGTCTTACCCGGAGCATGCGGCTGTCGAAGACGAAAGTCCGGAACATGATGTAGTCCAAAGTCTGCTCGAACATCCCCTCGTCGGAGTCTTCCATCGGCTTTCCTTTTCCGTACAGTCTGACTCTGATGGGAACCATTTGCCGGCTGACGTTGGTGGGCGTAGCCCAACTCTCCTCTGAAAACACGCAAATTTCGGCTTTCCGTCCGTGGCTTTCTCCACCACTCCCGTAGAATTTGTCCAAATTCTATGGAGTGGTGCCCGCGCGGAATCCCGTCCGCTGCCCGAGCTAAAACGAGAGGGAATCCGACGTCCTTTCGTTCGACCGGCGCGGTGTCCGGCGCGATAAAGGACCGCGGTAGAGTGGCGGACTCGTTCTTGTCTTCGTAGTAAGTTAAGAAGCGGATAAGAGGTCGAGGCGACAGAACCGATCGAGGTTTCGTCTTGGACCCAGAGAGATCTGCCGAAGGGGGTGTGGCCGGAGAGTTTCTTAAATGGGAAAACCGCCACGGTTTTGGCCTTAACGCGCGAAAATATCTAAAGAATGGGTGCCCGGGCCTTGCCGGAAGCGGTTCCGCGCCGGGCCGTACGAAAAGACAAAGATTTCGGTCCGACCGGGCGGCGGACGGCCACGCGAAAGAAACGGAAGCCGAGGTGCGCTGGTTTAACGACGTTTAAATTATCGTTTCTAGAAACAGTTTGACCCCTTTCCATACCTAATCTCGCCCAGAAATTCGTACGACAATTCCGTGGATGGCTTTCCGGGTTTTCCTCTCTCTTTACTTTAAGGAAAATTACATAAAATCGGCGCAACTTTGGCGAAACGCGACGCCGCGGACGGAGGTAACCGGCCGGCAACGTTCCGGTAAAAGGTAGGTTAGGTTGGGGCGGGAGTGGCGAAGAACTTACCGGAGAAGAAGTAGTCGACCTGAATGTCGTCGTTGGCCCAGTAGTCGCCGTTGAACTTGTGACAGCGAATGCCTTCCACCGTGTCCTTCCCCACGTATTGCATCTGGTAAAAAATAAAAATCAAAGAACCAGAGGTCAACGGAAATCCGCCAAAGTCGAGCGCGCCGTTCTCTTTTTAGCCACGTCATCGAATGCCGGCTCCATCGTAATAAACACAGAGAAGCGATCGAAACTCTAAAGCGATTTAATGGCTCTGAATTGGCATTGGATACGAAAACTGTGATTCGGGAAAGCGGACTAACCATAAAGATGAGATGGGTGAAAGCCCGTGCGGGAATTAAGGAAAACGAGAGGAGGGCCGACTTCTTGGTCCAAGAGGCAGTTCAACGCCAATAATATCATATTGCGGGATCTCTCTGCCGTATATCAAAAAACTGCTTAGGCAAGAAACGCTCGCCCGAGTATCTCGCCATTCCGCCAGATACGTACGGCGAGAAGGGCCACTCCCAAATGTGAAGAAAAGAGTAAGAGAATTAAATTGGTTACCGCTAGACCACCCGAGGACACAAATCTACTCGGGACGTTCCAACAGCAAAGCAAACTTGGCAAAAATTAAGAGAAGAGAAAGCGCGGTTTGTGAATGTGGTGAACAAATTTAACGTTTAGACCAGGGGTGTCCAACCTTTTTGTTTCTCTGGGCCGCATGGGAAGAAGTCAAGGAGTTTTGGGCCACAAGTATATATAATATACTTATATATACTTGTGGCCCAATATACAATTATATTTATATGTACAAGTATATTTAAGGATTAACATGTCTAGATTATAATAATAAGTATTAAAACTTTATCAAGAAAAAGGATATTTTAAAAGTTACTTCTACAGACACTTTCAATTTTTACTTAGAAATAGATAAATTTCATTTATTATAAACGAGACAAATGGAAATTTATTTGAAAAACACAAATATTTGTTACATTTGGGTCTCTAATTAATAAAAAGCGACGAAACACCATTTTAAAGTGCATTTTTATTCAAGTAATAAAATTATAAATAATATGTAGCCCAAAAAGTAGCCAAAGCGCCAAATGATATTTTTTACGTCAAACAAAAAAAATAGCCACATTTGGCTCAATGTAGCCAAATCTTGCAACATTGGAAAAAATACTAAATAAAACAAAGGATTATAGACCCAAGTGCAGGGAAAGGAGAGAAAGGACAAAAGATAAAATAGTGAGAAAGGTTGGAAAATTAAGGGTCAACAGAAGATCTATTTAATCTTTCTCACTACTACATCTTTTGTCCTTTGTCATCTTTCCCTCCTTTTCCCAAATTTCGGTCTATAATCCTTCGAGTCACAACTCCAGCTTTATTTAGTAATCTTTCCGCATTCACACATCTCCAAGTATTTTAAAATATTCCCTTTCCACTCAAAAATAAAATATGAATAAAGGTTTACTGCTTTGTGAAACTTTTTTTTGAGTTTATGCCGTTGAAATAGATAAATAATAAAAAAAATTAAAACATTTTGTCGGTTTTGTTTACACGTTTATTGGGCCACATTGGAACTTGCCTTGGGCCGCATGCGGCCCGCGGGCCGCGGGTTGGACACCCCTGGTTTAGACCATCTAACGAACGAATGGCTCGGATTCGAAAGAGACGGGATGCAATTGCGCCTGCAGGTAATACATTAATTACGGACTCGTACCACCTAATAAGACAGAGCTATCTTAGAGCCTTTGCGCGGAAAATCCTGGCGTAAGGGTTCGAGACGCCAGCTGCTTCCCGACATTGTACGGGCGACGAGTAGCCGCAATCGTTCGTTCGACAAGATCCTACGTACTGTACAATACAGTACGTTACTTTTACGACTGTACTTTTCTTATATTTGTATGTTTGATAAATGGTTTGTAAGTCTAACGTTTACTTAGAAATAAAGAGACGTTTTCCTGGCATTGCCTATGCGAGACAATCACGTAAGGAGAAATGACCAACATCTAATGAAAAAAATAAAAAATGCCGGAGCGGCGGGAGGTCGGCTGTCTGGCCGTTGGTAAAATACCCTGATACATCCGAAGCGCCGTCTATCAAAATTTTTCGGGCAGGCGGTCAGTCTGGCCCGATCTAGCACCGGGCCAGTAGAGCGAGTACTCCCTCCCGCTTTCCGTCTGGGTAGTTCTTTTCCTAATCCTCGAAGGACCTTTACGGATAAACAAAAAATTCGCGACTGCTAGCCTATTCTTCAAATATTGATATAAAAGAAAGTAATAAACGACATTTATCCGTTGACCGAAATCACATTCCTGGCGGTGAAAGCCGAGTTAACCCTGAGTGCAACGGGCGCCATTTTGTGGGAGCGCCGATCCGACGTCCAACGGTAGCTTCTCGTTATAGAACTGTACTGCGCCCAGCCCTTTTTTTCATCGTTTGTTCTCCTTTTTTTTATTGTCCGCGGGCGCAGCTTCCCAGAGGATCAAAAGTGTTAAACGCTGGGCTTCTTCGACAATAAAAGCTTTACGCGACCGTTCTCGCCTAAGCTACGTAACTAAATAGGGCACGGAACTTCGGGGGCTCCGCCTCACAAATTATTTTAAACGATTTACGGATAGGGTCGAACGGATTTCTCGGATGGCGTTACCACGCGCGTCTTTCTATATTATTACTTTACGACAATTACTTCCAGCACCTACGCCTGGATCTTCCTTCCGGACTCGATTCCGCAGCCGGTTTCCCGGCCGCGGCCGCGTAAACTACGGGCCGGACCCGGGCCAAACGTTTTCTTTCCCGTTCGTCGACGTCTCAGTCGGCGGAAGCGGGAGGGGGTGGCGGAAAAGGTTACTTCGAGAACGCTTACCTGCGGATTGTCGGCGCCCGATCGGAGTAAAGAAGTGGGGCCGAAGTAGATGGTTTTTCCGCCGGGCGAATACAGCCAATTGGTGAAGTTGTAGTTGAGCAGGTAGTCGGAACTTCCCGCCTTCTCCACCCGACAGGCGTCATCTGCGGAAAGAGAAAATTCGGAAGGGTCCGGGGCTTTTCTTCCCCTTTCCCGGCCGGCCGCTTCCGTCGGAGAACGGAAGCGTGGGCCCGGAGAGGAGGAGATGCCGAAAGACGCTGACCTTTGAGCACGGCGATTTGGTCCTGGGTGGGGTAGAAGAAGACGCTTTCCACCTTTCCTTTCCGGATGATTTCCACTCGGGTCAGGTTCTTGGCCGCGAAGTAATACTCGGTGACGTATATGCTCTCGTCCTGCAAACGGAAAAAACACTTTCGAACCTCTTCTCTTCCGGAAACCGGAAGAAAAGAGGCCGAAGGAGCTTACCTGCGGTCTGTTGTTTATTTCGATCTGAGCCACAAAACCGTTTCGCATCAAGTTGGTCACGTCCGGAAACGAAGGATCTGCGAAGCGAGGCAAATTATTGATATCAATCTGCCGACAAGAATAGCGAGAAGCGGTCGAACATTCGGTGACGTCACGGTCGACTGGAGTCGAACGTCGAGTAGTTTGCCGGGCATATTTCCGCCCGGTTTCCCCGCGGACGGAGCTTAACGGCGCTACCGTCCGGGTGTCGACGGATGGCGGTGGGTGTAATAGTCGGCGTTTATTTGTTTAATGAGAGGAAAGTCGTAACATAGCAGGTACGTCGGAAGATGTCCCCAGAAGCCAGATTCTAGACACTTTTCGTTTACGAAAAGAAAAACTTGTCTAACTTTATCTAAAGTCCGCATTATCGAACTTTTTAATTCGCAATCGTTTCTACTACAAGCGGCAATTTGTATTAAATAGGAAAATTATAAGCTTTCTTCCTACTCCAAAGTTAATTTCGGTCTTTTCTTAATCCCTTCTTCGGACAACTTTAAACAAATTCATTTTCTTTTTTAACATTAATTGTTTCTAACTTAAAGAATTTCTACCGTCGACAGTTGGGTCATTTTGTCACGGATCGATTCCGTCCGTATCTTACGTAACGAATTATCCAGTTAATAAATATAATACAATTAAATATTTATAAAGCGAATGTAATTTAATTTGATTAGGCCGAGAAAACTTAATTTACTACGACAGATATAATTACAGTCGCCCCCCCTATAATTACGGTCCCTATAATTACGATTCCTATAAAACTACGAAAAAATATACGTATTTTCGAAATGTTGAGTCGGATTAGTGTAGAATCGATTAATTTTATGGAAGAAAACCTTTCAATCAGCCATAGCCCGTAAACTTGACACGTGTCGGGCTGTATTGGAACGACTTGTAAGAAATCGGATTCCTAATAAATTGGAACGTATCTATATCTTATAGGGGGTCGACTGTATAAAAATAATAATTTATTTTTATAATTATATCTGGCTGGCGTACGACGTATTATCCATGTACTGTACGTAAACCTATATTAATATCGATACGAAATTACAAAATTCGTTATAAAACACATTACATAGAAAGTTCTTTCCGCTCGGTGTCCCATCCGCCCTTCTCGAATTTTTTGCCGCGTTTTCCCACGTTTTTCGTCACTGGAAAGCGCAAAAGTCTATATACTTTACGTCCGCCGTTATTAGAACAGACCCGTGGTATTGTTTTTGAAAAATAAAATATAAACCAAGAAAGCCCGCTTAATTACTATTAGCGCGTTTGGGTTCTGGTTCAATCGTTATACGTCGATACCCGGTCGGACCGTTAATTAAGCTCCGCCGACGGGAAAACCGGTCGGTGGGTTTTAGAAAGGCGCCTTTGCCAGTCGGTTGGATGACGGGGACAGTTACGACTTTATAAAGTTGCCGGTTCCGGGCTAAACCACTTCCGTATTTATTTAGCCGTAGAAAAGCGCGAAACCAACGAAAAGAATTGCCGGTGGAGTCTCGAGTAATACGAGGAGGAACCGGTAACGGCCGGGCAGTCGGATCTAACCATTAATTTTTTGGACCGAGGTAAAAATACGATATGTCGTTTACGGCAAAAGATAGGTAAGACTACGGGAGGATTTCGATATTTTACCCAACGCCCGGAGCGCGGGTCCCGTAAAAACCGCGGATAAATAGAGAAAAGTAAATATAAGCTTTATTTCTTTGTTTTAAATAATAACTAAATTTTGTAATGGGCAGTTTTAATAAAGAGTTACTTTAATACGGGAAAATTAGTGCTATATTAAGTTTAAAAACTATTAGATTTAGTTATAGTAAATAATTGCGCGGGTGTTGGAGACGAATAAAAATATAGCTGGTTGGATTATTATACCGCCAGTCGAAATTAAACTAACGAACCTTTAACGTTCGTACCTTAATAAATAGCCTAGAATTTTAGATATCGAAATATTCAATAGCGAACTCGAAAAAAATCCCCTGGTAACGCGTAATTAAATCTTTGGTGGGCATTGTTAAAAGTTAACTTAAAAAATTAAACTGAAAGTATGCGTGGGTATCGAAGGAAAATACACGAGCGTGTCTATTAATAGTCTACGATCGAACGATTTAATTTATGAAAGTTTTTCGTAGACACGGTACGATCGATTTCGGAGGTAATGCCGCGACGGTCCACGTCATATTTCGTCCGGGTAACGCTTCCGGAAACCTTCGGTCTGGCTTTTCTCGATTTCTACTCGGGCCGTCCGGATAAATGTCGGAACAGAGAGCGCTACGGTTATAAGAAAAAACGGCCGGAGACGTAATGTAGCCGAATATAAATTTATATCTACGGTTAAAAATGACGAATTTTTGTCGTATTTTTGGGTTAGCGCTGGATATATTTACCCGGCATTGTAGCCGGGACTCTCCCGGGAATACTTTCCGAAGTTATTTCCGATTTTCCGACTCGGAAGTTTTTCTTACGCGTTATTTGATTCGACGCGGTTGGGCGGAACTATGATTATAATATCGAAAAATATCCTCGAAATCGATCTTTTTCGTGGATATTTTTCAAATAGACGTTACAAAAATACGAAAAGTAACTTTTTGGCCGAGATAAAGCTAATTTTTGTTTGCCGTAATTGTAAAAAATTGTCGAAAAAGAAAACTTGCCACTGTACGACGAGATTTAACAGCAAAAATCTCTTACGATAAATAATGTTTGCGCCCGACGTCCTAGGCTAAAAGTCGGTTTCGATAAGTTCGGCGATTTCCGTAGGTAGTTCGGCTTTTTACCTTCTGGCCAATTAAAAATAAAGAAGTAAATTTACATATACGGTAAACGCGTATCAAATAGAAAACGCTGTCTTTTTGAAAGGCGAATAAAAGCGCACGTATTTTTCGTTTAAAATTTTATTTATCAAAATGCTCGTTTTTACATTCGATTAGACTTTTCCAACGGGAGAATGGTTCGAATATAGCATTTTTAGCATTAAAAATCGAGTTACTTCCTCTTTTATCATCGCGCCATTTGTAAATTGTTTTCCACGTCGAGATACGATTATCCGAAGATAAAAAGAAGTGCGGTAATCCAACGGAGATAAGTCGGCGGAATAGGAAGGTCGAGATAAAAGTTTTCGTCCCAATTGCATTTTTTATTTCTTGTCATTTCTGCCACGCGTGCACGAGCCTTATCTCGTAACAACGAAAACGCCTCGACCATTCGGCCAAGACGGTTGTTTTAGCCTTAAATTAATTAATTTCTCACCTATTCTTCGCAGCCGTTCGCCGAAAAAACGTGCCGCGACGAAGGTAGATTTCTTTTCGAGAGTCGTTCGAATCATTTATAAAAATGGTATGGTTAAACTGTCCTCCCGCCGAGAAAGTATAAGCTAATGCGAAGGTAACTGTTTTGACCATTAGAATTATTTTAAACAAAAGAAACGTGCATTTTATTGACGTTTGAAAAAATGGCATTATTCATTTGGTTACCCGATGGTTCTACTACTCGATGCGTCTTATTCGTATTACGATTAGCCTGTGGCGTCGGATACGTAAAAGAAGTTAAAAACGCGTTTACCGTAATTCGTTATAAAATTCATTTTCTATAGTTAATTTTAAAGCTTTTCTAACGCGCACGAAGAGGAATAATACCCAGGCGAAGCTTTCGAGTTAATAAATAAATAGAAAGCGGAAATGCTTGGCTAAATTACGACTTTAAGCCACCAACTTCGCCAGTTCCTTCCGCGCTCGACATGGCCACTTCTTCTCTGCTCGCGCGTACACTGGCTCGACTCGATTCTGGGGGCGTATCGTAGCTCCGCGGTGGGGGCGCCCGGGTTTCTCGGTTTTACCATACGGTAACCCCGCGATAGATACGCTTCGACGTCGTCTCGTTACTTTTAGCCATTCGATAATTCGTTTCGACTGATCGATTAGCCGCGATATTCCCGGTCGACTTATTTTTCGTCGTAGCCTACGCGACGACGCCGGGTTTCGTGGCATTTAAAATCGCGGAGATAGCCAAGTTTTCTAAGATCCGTATATCCCTTCTTTTAGCCGTATCGGTGACGCCTTCGCCTTTACTAAGCCGAAGTTACGTCGTCGGCCGGCGAAAAGAGTTTAATAGATAATTAATATAAGCGGAACCGAGACCGCCGGTTACGAATACTTTCGATAACCGTCCGCGGAAATTACGTAAGTTTTGTTTCTAGGCGGCGATGTAAACTCCGGTAATATTTTATCTCCGCCACCGTAGTTACGTAGAATAAAAAGACTTCCGGAAACCCTCCCAGTGGCTCGGCACCAGGAACTTAAATTACGGACGACGGCTTTAATTAATTAATTAATGGAACGGCCGGATGCGGTGGTAAAACGGAACTCGCTGTACCACCGCGCGGATTTTTATGCGTTGGACGAAACTCGTCCCCGGTCTAGACCTAAATCTTTATAAATACTATCGCCCGGTCACGCGGCCTTTTGGGGCGAGAGGGCACCTATCCCCCTTTTTGTAAATCTTGGTAATATATATACAGTGGAACCTCGGTATACGTCTGCTTTAGAATACGTCAAATTCGGAATACGTCCTGTTTAGACGAAACAAATTTTGCTCGGTATACGACTTAATTTAATTACTGTATACGCTCCCATCTATGAACAAGTTGCACTATCGGTATACTACACCAGACTAGACGTTCGCGGTGCCACAGTTTATAACTTTGTTAAATTTCTTCTGATTTTAATTTGTAAGTAAAATTTTATTATTTTTATTAACCAAAAATTGCAAAAAGGCAACAGAAAAATAAAAAAAATGACTAGAATCACAATGGAACTGAAAAAAGAGATTGTTGAGAAATACGAAGATGGCACACGTTTTCGAGATTTAACTGTTGCATTCCGTATTCCGAGAATGACGATATCGACAATCGCGAAAAATAAAGACATTATTAAATCTGCTAACGTTGCGAAAGGGGTTAAATCAATTTCTAAACAGAGATCGAAGGCATTAGATCGTGTCGAGAAATTGCTTTTGCTTTGGATAACTGAAAAACAGTGTGCTGGCGACAGCGTATCAGAACTGATATTAAAAATCACTTGAAATGTGCGAAACATAAGGCAAACCTAGTAGCAACAGAAGCAATTATTTGCGAGAAAGTTAAAAAGACACATGCTGATCTCATGAAGAATCAACCAGCAACTAGCCAGGATAGCTAGGTGTTTAAAGCCAGCCATTTTTTTTTTACATGAGAACGGATTAATCGTTTTTACATTACTTCTTATGGGAAAGGTTGGTTCGGTATACGTCCTATTCGGTATAAGTCCAAACATCGGGAACGGATTAAGGTCGTATACCGAGGTTCCACTGTATATTATAATCATATTTATAACTTATACATATATATATATATATATATATATATATACATATATGCTATAAATATGATTAAGACTAAAAATACGAGTTAAGTTACGAGTTAGGAAAAGGAATTGTTTTGGAACGACATACCCGTAGCGTGGTTAATTATGTCAGAAACGATTAACAAAGCGTATAAAAGAAAAATGGTTCCTGGAAAATAAATTCTTTCCGTGTTCTTTTATTGTTTTTCGTTTTAATTCTCCTTAACGTGTATAAATATGTTTGTTAATTACAAAATCGTTTTAACTGGTTTAACTCGTTTCTTAAAAAAATATTTAAATTTACCGGATAGCGGCTCAATAGAAAAGAATGGCGATCTTTAATTAATAAAGAAAATAATCAAAATCATTTTTAAGAATAAAAATGGAAGGTGGGAGATAAGGAGAGTCCAAAGTATTCGAGGCCATTTCTTTGCCTCCGACCGAAGTACGAGTCGTTTTTGATAGGAAATGAAAAATTTCCTTTAAGTTTAAAGTTGTCGAGATTGATATAGCTCCTGGTACCCCGGACGGTTTCGGAAGTTTTATCTTCTCGTTCGTTTATTAAACTCTTTCCCCACGCGGAGTAAATTCCTTACGGAAACGACTAGGAAATTTCTTTATCCTCCCATTTGTTCGGGGGCGTCCGTACATCGGGGCGCGTGGCCCGTTTTCAGTCGGGGTTGCCCTTTTCCTAATCCCCGAGGGGGCTCGACCGACGGAAAATTCGCGACTTCTAGCCTATTGAGAAAATTTAACCCCTTAAGGACCCGAGTGTAAGGAAAGCCGTCGTATCCTTACACGGCCCTCCGATTCCGGCTAAGCCAGAGGGGAAAGACAAAAGCGCTACTCACCGTCCGGGTCGTCGGAACGACCGGGATGGATCCCCAGGCACAGGAGAAGAAGAAACGGCGCCGCCACCTTCATCTCGGCCACTTTCGCCAATGCCGTCGAAAGGGTAACGGATTGTCTTTTCGGGCCCGCGATTCCCACTCCCGCCGGCAGGAGACGGAATCCGCCCCCCGCCCGGACGGACTTCGCCCCCGTCCCAGATAACCAGAACAAAGGGGGGCGTCTCCTTATCGACCGCCGGAAACGACCTCCTCCTTTCGTTTCTCTTACGGAAGGTGCGCGTCCGACTTTTTTAGTCGGCTTCAAATTCTCCCCCCACCCCAAGGTATCGGTCGGACGCTGGCCGCGCGTGCTTCCCAACGAGACGCGTACGCCCGACGTCGGAGCGGTCGTGGCCCGGCGCCGTAACTGGGAAACGTGGGAACGGCGGTGTCCCGACCGGGTCTGAGATTTTACTTTTTGCTCCGCTATTTGTTTTCGAAGGGAAAGACGAGCCATAGAAAACGGTGGGTTATTTTTTTAAATCGAACCAAAAACGTTAAACTTTGAAAATAAATTTATAATATAGATAATATTTTTGACCATCCCATTCGGAACCCTTTCGTCCCGGGCCCGTCGCACGCTTCCATCTTATAGAGTCATTCTTTTCTCCCGCCTACTCCTCGTCGCGCTTTTGGTTCTTCTAACCGCTCGAACGAAAAGTTGTGTCCGAACGGAGGTATTTCGTTTCGTTACTTCCCGCGCCACCACCCCAGAATGAGGCGGCCGGGTCTTTTTAAAATCGACCGAAAAACGAGGTCAGAACGTGTTTCGCTGACTTCGAAGAAGACCGTATTTTTCGGTCGTTCGATTCAATTAGCCGATTTTCTGGCCACCTCCGTGCGCTGTCCGCGTTAAGGCTCCTTTTTATCTTTTTTATCCGGCACGCCGGTTGTACGGAGGTGTTTTAAAAAAGTCCGTCGACTTTTAATCCGTGCCCGTGCCGGCGCGGTGTATCGAAAATAAATTAAATCCTTATTTATTTAAAATCTACTTTAAAGGAATCCGACTCCGACGAATAATATTAAAATATTTGAATTTTAAATATTTTTAAATGTAAAATTAATTTTACTCCGGGTGATAAAATATAGGGTAGGGAAAAATGCCTTGCCTGATATAAACGAAACCGCTAGACGAACGTATTTCGAAATGACATCTTACCCGGCTTATTTTTACTGAGGTGGGAAAGCGTTATTATTTAATAGTGTATTGCGCAATACGGGTTCGAGTAGTTTTTTGGAATTTTCTTTTCTTCGTTTTATTCTTCTTCTTCGAATCTGTAGAGCGTACACGCCGGACTCCTTTTCGAAATCCGTCACCGGACTCGGTGAAAACGTGCGATGGTTCGGTATCTTACCCGTCGTATTACGAATTTGCTTATTTTAGCCTAGGTTGTTACGTTTATCGCCGAGTGTCGAGATCGGAAAGTTCCGAATCGGGGGGAGAGTGGGGTGTTCGCATTTCCTGGATTCTCAGAGAATAAGCGTTGTATAACGACGAGTAGACGGGGTCTGGTGCTCGGATACTATCGATAGCGCTATCGGTACTATCGATGTTTAATGTTTTTTCTAATGGACATTCTACAATTTAAAGATAAGAGAAATATTGTTTTCCTCGACAGTACCGAGAACTACACGGTTAACGGTTAAACTTAGAAAGAATAGATAGCGCTTTACTGACAGGAAAAATTTTTAAATCTAATTTTAATACCAGATGATAAAAAATAAATATTGTTTTTATGTGAAAAATACGATAATAAAATTGGACTACCGATAGTAATGATATTTTTAAGAACCACTGGTGTAAATGGTCACCGCCCGACGAGAAAAATAAGCCGGTATTTCACCGGCCATCGAGATGTTTTCCGTGTCGATAGCAAAAGGGCGACTAATATAAATAAAATATTGGCAATATTTGTTGCGTGCGATTCACGACCGTATTCTATTGTCCGAGATAAGGGAGCTGCGCTATTTATATACGAATTAGAACCAAGATATAAACTACTGTCGCCAAAATATATCGGCAACATACTCGTATCCAACTTATACAAAGAGTGTAAAGAAAAATTGAAAGTTTCGATGGATAAAGCGAAACGTTTATTCGTAACTACCGATATGCGGACTTCGATAAATAATCAGTAGTGTTGTAACGAATATTCTGTTACTATTCGGTATTCGGCCTATTCGGCCTATTTTTCACTATTCGGCCGAATACCGAATATTCAATCACTATTCGGCCGAATACCGAATACCTAAAAACAGGAGTAAGAAATAACAAAAACACAGTAAATTAATCGTTTTGGTATTTAGATTTAATGTTATCGAGTTAGTGTTGTTTGTTTACATTTATTTATAACTTGTAACATGCACAAAATAAAAAAGAAAATAATATTAGTCACTTGTATTCACAATTTATAATTACAAAGATCAGCAACACTCCATTAGAAATGTCTTCGGCACATCGTAGAATGTCGATAATGCGTGATAACGTGGAAAACGTATCTGTAATCTTTATGTACAATTTAGTCTCTATGGCGTGACACCGCGACGAGATCTCGCACCACCTCAAAATCTTTCTAGGTCGACCTGTGGTTCGGCCCGTGGAAAAAGTTTTCTTTCCAATTCGGCCCGGGGGCAAAAACTATTGGCCACTCCTGGTCTAGCCCCGAGCGAGCATTAGTTCTAAATTATGACGCTAGGACGAACGGCGCTAATGACGGGAACTGGATTTGTGTAAGTTTCGTTTTCGGTTAGCGGTGACAAAATATTTTGCTAAAATACGGTGGATTGTCCGTCGTATCGAGTGGAATGCGGCGAATGTAATTTGAAATAGAATCGTAAGCAAAGCTTAAAACATTAAAGCCAAGCAAAGAAAGGACAATAACGGGAATGATAAAGATATCAAATTATTTCAATGTAGTTTGCGTTCGGCTAAATATCATAAAAAGGAAGAAATATTGTCACACTGGCGCGAGATACACGATATTATATTTGTCTTACCAGACGCCCCGTTTTGACCGAGATTGTCCCGGTTTGATGATATGGTCCCAGCGTCATTTCGTCCCGGTTATTTGGTAAAATTTTAAAAGCCCCGAATATACAAGAAGTAAAATTGCGATTTGGCAACTAAATAATCCCCTCTGTTACACTGGCTGTTGCCATTGTAAATATTTTCTATCTACATCTAAGTACTTTTAATTTTAATGCGTAGATGTTTATAGCACGCGGCCTAACGAATTTAGATGTTTTATTTTTTCATTCAGTTATTTTTTCACAGAACTTGTAATAGCCCGTAGCTTATGAGATCCAGATATTTTTATTTTATTTCGTTTCAATTAGAGTTGGCAACACTGAAACTTACACTGATTGCGCCATTGTTACGCGTATCCTATCTTAGTCGAGTTCAAATTGCGAATCGGTATTTGCGATTATTTTGTACTGTACTGTACATTAAGTTAATTTAAATCCCCAAAATGACAAAAGGAAACCGTATATTTACCGACGATTGAAAAAATCTTTGATGGTATTGACAAAGCGAAATACGAACTGTGCTTTTCAGAATTTTCATTAACTCGTAGTGGGCGTTTGGACTTAAATAACTTCTTAATAATGAGACGCGTTCGGTTGAGTTATTAAAAATTGCTTTTAACTCGTTGTTTTTTGATAACAACTTTTTATATAGACTTTTCAACCATAGCTACTTATCCTAGTAGGCTTTATTTTCTTTTGGTAGTATTTTCTCAAAACTGTCCCGGTTTGAGAAAAAACTGTTATGATAAGTCTATATTATATGTTTATATAAAAGCTTATTCCTTGGAATCTAATGAATACTGGTAAATGTATATTTGAATTGCTAACCGAAATTTATATACAGTGGAGCATCGATTATTCGACCCCCGATTAACCGTCACATCGGCAAATTTGAAATGTCCGCTAGTGATATGGCGCTACAATATTTGGCTATGTTTCGGATACCCCGCGTTTCTTTAAGCGGCAAGAGTGTAGCGAAATGACGTCACGAGTAATGTTGGCCAATTAGAAATCAGTTTCAGTGTGTTCGCTGTAAAGAGCTTCTGGAGCGCTGCATAAAGAAACGCGGGGATACTTTAACATCCTTCGTTTCCAATTATACGAGCGCTAAGGTGGATTTTCTTTTTTGCTAGACTTATTATACCATCAGTAAAAGGAGAAAGTTTTTCTAAAGTTATTTTAAAGTAAAGTAATTTTAATTTAAAAAATAAAAATTAATCGATTTTAGACGGTATTAAACATAACTTTGTCATTTATTAGGGAGCGCGGTCTTTCCACTTGCAAAAAAGTCTCGACGGCGTCTTTTTGCGAATTTAATTATATTCGGAAAGGTCTATATATTTAGAAATCGAGTTACGTATCGGTTTTATATACGTTTATATACGGTCGACCGGCAGCGCTAGCAGCAGCGCTCCTAGTGAGCAAAAGTGGCTGTAGACGAGTAGCGGTACGGATAGGAGAACGGCGAGAGAATTGTTCGGCGGGACGACACCGCGGAAATCAGATGGCGCGTCGATCGGCACGTGGGTGCGAGGGCGGAAAGGGTGTCGTCCCATAGCGTAATCGAGAAGAACCGTCCGAAGGTAGGTACCGACGTCTTTTCCCTATCCTAAGATTAAGTTTAGAAATCGAATTGTAATCGGCCGATTACAATTATTTATGGCGTAAATTTAAATACATATTAATTTAACGCGAGTTTGACGATTGTTTTGACTAACCATTGGCATAATTTACTACTTAGATGGCCGAAGTGGAAAGAGGTATTTATTATTATTTTATTCCTTTCTTAAATTAACGGTTAAGAGTTTACTGTCTACCGATTAATTAAGGATACGACGTAAATTAATTACTTTACTAATCGCATTAAGTAACCCGTCGTTTGACGAGTCGGGACCAGCGGTCTCGTCGGTCCGACTCGATAGGAAATGTCCATTTTGGAATGTCAAGGCCGAGGAAAAAAAATTGTAACCGATCGAAACTCGCGTCTCATTTTAGCATTTCTTCGGTCTTCGTTCTCTTTATCGCGATAATATTGCTCTTTTCCCGCTGGAAGGTAATTGTTGGTAAAAATGGTACATTGTATACACACGTATAATAAGTGTCGGACCTACGTAAAAAGTTTATTATCTACGGGAAAACGATTACAAAAATAATTCCTTGTAGCCTACTGCGGTGTTTCTCGACCTTTTAAGCCCGAGAACCAGTAAAATGAAAAAATTCTACGGACTAAGGTAGACCTAAATTTTGAAATTATCGACGTTCGGGACGTACCGTGTGCATTTACCGGTTGATGTAAAAATATATTTCTAATACGCGCGGAAATCTAATTAAATTGCAAGTAAACTATTAAAAGCGAATCGTCATCGAACAAAGTTCTAATCTTTATTAATTTAAGTGTGCCTAAGGATCGCCTGTCGGACAACTTTCCAATTGGTTTCCTCGCACGAAAATGGAAATCGAGTATATCTGCTGCGTTTTGCGTGAAAGTTTTGTACTCGGCGACCTTTAAAAAAATAATTTTTTTCGGAAGTTAATCGGAAATTTAAAGATTCCGTCGAAATTCTCTTAGGTCCGGTTATCGTATTTTCCGATCCGTCGCCTTTTAGGCCGAGAATCTTCCTTTGGCATTAGCGTAGCCAGGGGATCCATTATGCCCCGGTCGCCACTCGCCTAGGGCGCCAAATGGTCTCCGAGACAAACGAGATTTGTTTCTGGAGGGGACGGCGGGGGGGCGTCGATAAAGTGTCGTGCACCGGGAGCCAGTTACCTTCGCTACGCCGACGTCCTTTGGTAGCGGTTATCGGCCCGTCGGCCCGAGCTAGAAAATAGTTCTTGAAATAACGTAATACCTTTAATGCATCGTATTCGTAGACTCGGATTTACGACAATACTAAAAATTCCCAGTTTGCCTGTATGGAAGTGTCCACTCTCCGACATATTTTATTCCTGTTCGACCGCCTACGAGAACTTCGATAAAAACTTTAAAATTCTGATTAAATTATGGAAACTTGTTATGGAAAACTGTAATTCGTGCCATTGGGAAGTGATGCCTTTGTAAGATCAATATTAATTGTGTGATATTCTTATAGTTACTCTAAAACTTTTATAGCTGATTTAGGAGTTTAGATTCATTTCTTCTTTAAATAAAACTTATACAACACAAATTTTAATAAATATCTTTCAATATGCAGACCAATTAAAACTAATTAAAATTAGTCTAATGGAACTCTTAAGCACTTTATTACTTAAGACTTCCATTAGACTAATTGTTTTTTAGAATTTTTTAAAATTTTAAAGTATGCAAGTAAATACTGTTTGACAAACCATAATAAAATTTGATGTGTCAAATTTTTTTGTTGTTTGCCAATAACAAATTTAAATTTTGTAAAGTTAGGAAAGATGTGTGTGACTTAAGATAATCAACAACCAAAGAGGAGTGTTAAAATGCTCAAAATGCATATTGTAAGATAAGTAGGGTAGGAACTTTGTATGGACACGAGTTGTATGTTGGTTCGTTAAAAGACCAAACAAAGAGAAAAAATAATAAACTGTGTGGTTTTAAGAAAATGAAAAATAATGTCTGTTTTCTCTGACTGAGGAATATCAAATAATTCTGGCATATTAGTGATTTTTCAGATTTTCTGTTTTTCTCAAAAGAAAAATGGTCCAAAAACTTCATCACAAGATATTGCCATGAGTGGACTAAAATTTTGATTTGTATTTTATGGGCAAAACTGTCTCAAGATATCAGATTTTTATTTTATTAAGCGTCTTAATGTGGAAGGTAAGTTGTTGACATTCCATATACCTTATTTACTCAAAATGTATAATGCACTTTTTTCAGGTTTTAATTTCTTTGAAAATAGAATGCATTCTAGACTTGATATAATATGTTGTGATTGGCAATTTCTTCTGCCGTGTGTCTTATTTTTTTTGTTGACGTTAGGCGCAATCTCTTATCTCGGATAAGAGATTATACCTAACGTCTGCCTCTAATTCCAAATTACTTAACGTCTAATCATTAATAATAGCAAATTTATAGCCCGATTAATGACGGCGATTGTTTGGTCGAGTTTCGATGTGTCGGGCTTTGGAAAGTTTATTATTTTTTTGCATTATTTTAATGATTTTATTACACCAATATTTGTAATAGTAAATATTTAAGAGGTAAACTCGTCACAATCTCATCAGTCTATTACTATGTTGCAAGAACTTGGATGATTATACCCAAAAAAGTTGTGTGGCACTCTTGATGTTGCATTTCTGATCCTTTGAATGGTACTGAGGACAATTACTTGCAGAAAGATAAGGGCAATAAATCTGATCTTGATTCAGAAGAGCCTAATGCAGAGTGAAGAGGTTTCTAATACCATGGGAGACAATGATATACAAGTTATTTTACTATGTAATAAATACTGAACAAATTTATGTTGACAGAATTGGCTGTATTGGCATAAATTTGTCTCAAGTTGTCCATTTTTTCAAAAAGAGAAAAAAGAATAATAAATGCTTGGGTGAGCATGTAGAAATTAAAGTGCATTGTAAATGGAAACAAATAGATCTATTTAGCTATTTTAGAGCTACATTTTAAACTTTAATTTTTAAGACACTGATAGCAAAAAAAATTGGGTATGGGATAAGTAGAAACATCCATTTTTATTGTTTCTGTTGACACACAAATTATTATTATTACAAAAAAATTACCCTGAAAAAAGATCATTCGTATAAAAAATAATTAAAATATGAGAGATTTTAATGAAAATGCTATAAAATGGTACTCTAACACACTTTAACAATTTTTTTAATAAAGTGAGTCTTATGATGCCAATGAAATTTGTCAAATATTGAAACTGTATCCAGTCATCATAACATGCAAATGAGATTGGCATATAGAATAGTGTACCAGTCTAACAAATCTTGTCCTTTGAAAAATGTGTCTCAGGAGATAATGTCGAGAAATTTCGATTTGTTGGTTAGTTCCTTTGTCAGGTGAATACAGAATTTTCTTGAAATTTTGAGTCTATTCGCTCCAGGTTAGTGCGTTACTTCATATCACAGTATTTCCTAATTTTTTTATTTCCTCAACATGGTGTCACATAATTGATTTTAAAAATGCTGTCCTTGATTTACAACAGTCTTCTCTAAGAATTCTTCAAATATTATTTTGAGTAATCAATGTTGTTACAGGTCATTAAATCCATTTGTGGAATCTATTTATTATTATGAATTTATCTTAAATTATTTTTCTGCAAAAAAATTTAAAATTACTTGTGGTTCCATCTGTTATATTTTATTTAAAACCTTTTTTTATTATTACTTATAAAATTGCAAAAAGCTAACTTTTGAGGAAAGCGAAGACTTTTATAAAAAATTTAAATACTAATAAAGAATAAAATTTTAAGCCTGACCCCACTCGAGATGTGACATGTGACTACCCCTAAATCTATAACCACCAAAATTTAATACCATCAATTCCTCTAATGGAGAAACCTCCTTATAAAATTTCAGAAATTTTCAATAAAAGTCTTAGGAGTTATTATGCTTCAGTGTGGTTGAACAAAATCATGCTCACCACACATACATGCTAAAATACATAAATATAGAAAACTTCCAAAGGTTTTTTGCTCTTCTCAACATTTCAAGATCTCGGGGTCCAAAAATGTAAAAATTTTGGGAGGTCATTCTTTGACTGATTGCCATACTTTCCCTCTGCTATACATAACAGCCTGGAAAGTAAAAATGATTATTGCTTTTTCATAAAATCTTTAAAGTGTCATTTGTTGTTTTTTTTAATTTGAAATTCAGAACTGATTACCAGTTTTATTCAATAATAATTGCCCTCATGGCTAGTATAGCTGCATTTATACTATTGAGTTGGAATCCAGGGCTGTGGAGTCGCGTAAAATCTACCGACTCCGACTTTTCCTTATGATCCGACTCCGGCTAAAACACCAAAACTCCACAACTTCGACTCAACAGCCCTGCCAGGGCTGTGGAAGTCGCGTAAAAATCTACCGACTCTGGCTAAAGCATCAAAACTCCATGACTCCCCCTCCGACTCCGACTCCACAGCCCTGGTTGGAATAGAAGTAGCTGTATGAAAGAATTTTTGATAACTTATGGAAACAATGTAAAATTAATAAATACCATAAATTATGGTAGAAGGATGACATATGTATTTAACAAACAAACTTTAATGAAAAATACGCAAAATATACAATAGATGTCATTCTTTTTACCCTGTCTTTACTCTTATCCATTTCTGTTTGTATCAATATCCTTGCCTACTTGGATCTTGTTTATTAATAGCACTTATTATACTGGTGTAGTTTTAAATTAGCAAATAGAGGAGATCTTAGTCAAAAAGTCAAAACAAAATATTTTTATTCTCACCCAGTGAAAATAAAGATATTTTGTCCAAGTAGACAAAGATACAAATACAATAGATGTGTTTTATGATTATTTTCTTATTACTGGTATGTATAAACTAACATTCATTATAAAGAAAGATAGCAGTTGCATTTCAAGTTTAATTAATTTTGTAAATAAATATTGGAAATGGGTACATGCAAAGGAAATAACC